TTACCCTAAATGCGTGTCACATGATGTGGAAACCTGTGAAATGTACTGTAATCAATGTGACATGCATTGTTACGTTATGCTGAATTGTCAGGTTGATCCAAAGTAGAAATCTATTCACATGACTTCTACATATATTTATTTACAGTTACATTGCCATGCGCTGATCCAGAAGGGGGGATTTGCAGAGTTATTTGAAGTATATACTGAAGCAAATGAAAATTGACTCTGGACCCCCCCCCCCTTTCTAGAAAACGTGGACCCACCACCACACAACCACCATAAAATAAGTTTTTATTGTGTTTGGATATGGACTTTACGTTTCCTGGATCCAAGCCTTATTGCTATATATATATATATATATATTACGTAATATGTTGTATCGCTTTACCATAATATATTTTTTATGCATATGCCTAACATTAAGTAAATGAAACTGTGGAAGTCTTGATTAGGGGACACATCCCCTATCTCAGACTCCTATAGAGTCTAATTTATTGTAAAATCTGTTAGATGTAAATAAGTATAATTTATTTTCTGACGGGCTGTAATCCCCAAAGTTACACTGACTAAAACATGTAAACTATAATCTATATCTCTAATATGAGTACGAGGGGTGATCAAAAAGTTCGCGAACTAATTGAATTACTTCCTTAAAAGAAATAAAATGAGGTTTCATTGTTCATTAAATTTTAAAGAAGTCTTATATTTCTTACCATGCAAGTTATTTTTTATAACAAGAACAGACCATTTGACAGAAATGGCCAAATCTCGGCAATAGGATGGGTGGATAGGGATATCCCTTCCCAGAATTAGCATGGTAACCATCACAACCCGAGTCCTCTGTCTCGGGAGCGTCGTTTATCCAATGTAGAAAAAGTATGATTGCCTAATTTTTTTCATATCTCATATGTTTAAAGTCTAAAGTAAACGATATTTTAGGGATTTAATAATTATATTATTGTTCAGATATTCAACTATTTTACTAATTGTAACTTGGCGATCTTTTAAAATAAATTGCTCAATTAGGGACACATCTCTTTACCGGCTTGCTTTCGCTGGGCAACAGAACAAACATCATTTTTAAACATCTCTCTGTCTTCACTAAAACAATCAGATCCGATTAATGATTGAACTTCTGGGAAGTCTTTTGTCTTCATAAATCTTGTACAAATTATTATATTCTACTGCAAAGGAATTTCCGAGACATATTTTAAACTTTACAGCCGTTCGTTACTCGAGTACGACTGAGTCAACCATTTTTTGTCACAAGTCACCTACATATTGACGTCATTTTCACATTGTGACGTCACAAACATGGAGCAAAACATTATTCAACATTTTCTATTTATAGAATATGTGTATTACTATATGTGTGCCAAATTTCATTCTGATCTGAATTGTGGTTTTGTAAATATAGAGATAGTTCGCGAACTTTTCGTATGTATTCATATTCACATCAAAAGTAACTTTAAAAAACCGAATATCATGTTCTATAAAATAATAGATACTGTGCATTGATATGACATAGAAACATTTAATTCTAAAGCATTTTTAATGTACCCTAGTAAACGTCTCCAACAAATCGTCCAAATCAGTTTAATTTTCTTCCTGTTTTAGATAATTGGTTTTAAATAAACAGAAAATAAATATGTTTCCATTTAGGTTAAAATACTGTAATTAAACTTCGGAATTCACTCAATTTTAAGTTTTCAGTATTCAGAATGTACCTAACAACACAGGGGAAAAACTGGGCTTTTGATATCTGGGCTTTCCTACTGTTTCAAAAAATGCAATTAAAACGTTTCAATATATAGAAATATTTAAACCTCCAATGTAACCATTAGAGTACGGAGAAAGCAATTAAAGATATTGGCGTTTAAAGAACATAATCTGCACCACGTGTGATCTTCGGGAGAACCTTGTTGATTTTGCTTCTTTCAGTTCACTGATTGGTTATAAGTGTTAGAACCTGTCTGATAATCCCGTAGTCAGAGATAGGACTGTTTATATTAATAAGAGGCCTTATAGTAAGAGATTAATTTATCATTATACATGTACTGTAAACAGAATATTTAGATATCTCAAAAACATGACATGTTAAAATGAACAACATTCAGTTCAAAAGCCTTCATTTATGAATTTATTTATTTATTTATTTTTTTTTTTTTTTTTTTTTTTTTTTTTTGCAGACAATTTATTGCTTATATCAGAATCTCCATATGGGCTACAACATATACTGTCTTGACTCATTGCAAAGATACTGTAGTGACTGGAAGTTAAAAGTTAATACATACAAAACTAATGCTATGATATTTTCTAATTAGAACCTGAAGTGAGTTGTTAAACAATGAGGTATAAAGAAAATTATTTAATTTTGTTAACGAATATAAATAGTTGCGTGTTGTCCTCAACAGAAATGGTAAATTGAAATAAACAAGTGAGAATTTAGTAAATAGAGCATTAGGAAGGCATATTTTACAATCAAATCAAACCTACAAACTGAAACAATTTCAGTTTAGAACTCTGGAAAAATTCACTTCAAGATTTATGAATTATGCATTATACCAATTTTGACTTACGCTTCATAAATTTAGATAAGAGATTTTAAACAATTCAATTGATAAATAAAAGACTTTTGACAAAACTCCATTTGAAAAAAAAATCAAAATTTCATTTAATTTAGCAGACAGGATGGTGTTTTCTGATCATCCCATTATTTTCAGAATATATGAATTTTTGCATATATATCTTTAAAGATCACGGAAAATTGCCTCAAATCAGGAGAACTCGATCAAACTTACATTTACATCACGGCATATTTAGACGACAAAAAAAATGGGAAAACTTGAATGGCAAAATTATATACGACGAATACTTAATGATTTTATTGATTCAAACGCTAAAGCAGTATCTACAAATGGTTTTGCAAATAATTTGAAAAATGTTTCGAGAATATAGTTTTCAGAGGCATTAAAAACATAAAAGAAAAGGCATCGGAAAATTGGCATTCTACAGCAAATTCATCACAAAATCAAAACAAACTTGATATTGCATGTATAGTGTATTAACTGTCACACAGTTGTTGATGATGAATTGAACATCATTTTGTTTTTCTACTTGTATGTTCTCTATATAACCAACTGTGAAGTGAATATTGTACACTTCTTTAAAAATTCAAAATTTTCTGCTGATCTTTCAAAACTCCATAATACTGATTTTAAGCAAGGAAATGTACATTCATTTAATGCATCCAAAATGCAAAATGCACTGTAATCAATGTGACATCAATGTGAAATCATGTATGCAACACTAACCCACCCATGCACCCACCGCCACAAGCGCGTTACTATGTCCCCTCCAACTCCTCTGAGAGGGAATACTTACATATAAGGTGGCATGGGATACCAGACGAAACTTCTCCTACATATTTATTTGTCTAAAGTAGTACGATTTGAAATACCCCACCTTTCAAATTGTAATTTTAATAATACATTAATTAATTAGCATATCAAAAGATACATAAAGTTTTTTTTTCCTTTGTATAACACCTTCTTTAAATATTAATAGTGTTGATAAGAAAAAATGACAAGAAATCTCTCTTAAAATTTTCAAGGATAGAAACGGGCTGAGAAAGGAACGACAACTCTAGATATAGATAAAGGGTTTGCCACCAACGACCTCCTATGAGAAATTTGAAGAGAAACTAAATTTTTGTCATAATTCAAGGTATAATTTTTTTTCTCTGTATGAAGAATTTTTTTTAGAAAGTTTTCGACTAGTAGGGATTCTTGAGTCAAACATACATTCATTATCAAATGTACATACATTAAATTCCATGATTCAAACAAAACGAAAGTAGACCAGATGTACTTCTTGTTCCCATCTACTAGCCATGTTGACATGATAGAGGCATAGTCATTGTAATTAATGATCACACAAAGCATGCATGTATCACAGGGGCATCTTATCCACCCTGTTCTTTATTACACATATAATAAATACACAAGTGTGCATTTATTTAGTTAGTTTATTATATGTGTGATAGAGAATGCCCCTGTGCATGTATATTGATAAAGAAATTGAGAAATTGATACTAAAACAATTTGATCAACAGATCCTCAATCTAGGTCGAGATCCACCATTTTGATCATAGGCACTCCCCAGCTTAGGCCAAAAACAATAATAATTCTTGTTTCCTGCTACCAGCCTGAAAAAATAGGGTAGGAAGGTAGGAAAATTATTTTGTTTTATATTTTTATTTTATTTTTTTCCGACGACATTTTTTGAATATGAACTAATACAAGATCAAATTAAACATGTCATAGGTCAATATTGTCTTTTAAAATTAAATTTCATGTCTTTTTATGCACAACTCAAGTGGTATTTTATGAAAGTGCATATTTAAAACAAGAATTTCATGAAATGCTTGTTTTGTGTTAACACTGATATCAATTACGGTGACAGAACAATGAAATTCTGGAAAATTTCGATTTTTTTTTCTTCCTAAGCATGCTAAACTTTAAAAAAAACTTCAGGGTCGGGTGCAAAAAAAAATAGGGTAGGTGGGGTAGCAGGAAACAAGACCATTATTTTTTTGGCCTTTATTGTTAATTGTATAAAAAGTATATATCTACTACACTATAAACATATTATTTTATAACAATTAAGCTGGGTAGTGCCTATGATTTTGATGCCTGCATTTGAAACTTATTGTATTTTTCCTAAGGATTATCACCTCAATTTGGTAATTTGATAACTTAGCATTTAGCACATGTAGTAGCAGTTAGCAATATACTCGTCATTTATGAGTAGGGACACTGCATTACAGATCACCCTGGAGATAAAATAAGAAAGTTGACCTTTTTATTAAATAAATAATTCATTAAATGATGTACGTTGACAAGTTAATGACAGTATTTTGTAGCTTAATTTAAGAGAATTTGAATTCAAATGATAATTAAGCATCTTTAATTGTAACAGAGTCTCTGAGATATTGAGGCATGGACCCCCGTACCAGTGCCCAGGACGTGATGCGATGTGACCTGTGTGAGACCGCTGTGGTACAGATGCACTGTGATACATGTCTTGTCAACCTGTGTAAGGCCTGTGTGGGAGAACATTTTTCTGCTGATTTCTCAACACCACATAAAATAGTTGATTTCAAGGCTAGGAAATCTACTTTGATTTACCCTAATTGTGTGTCACATGATGTTGAATCATGTGAAATGTACTGTAACGAATGTGACATTCCCGTCTGCAACACTTGCATTGCATCTGATCAACATCTAGGTCATAAATTATTGAAGATTTTAGAAGTTTTGAGTAAAAGAAAAGAAAAGATTATGAAGGATCGTACAGAATTAAATGAAACAATCTATCCGACATACCAGGGCATTGCCTGTGATGTAGAAGAGAGATTATGTCTCTTACAAAAGGAATACAAAAAGCTTTCAACAGCCATAACAAAACAAGGAGACATTTGGCAAAGGGAAATTAATGAATTTGTCAATAAACTAAAATCTAAAACTGATGAAATGAAAAACAAACAGTTAGAAACTCTGCAGAAACATTTTGATGAAGTAAAGCAGAAAATCTCCGACATCCAGGATGAAATCAATTCAATCGATGTTGCTTTAAATTCTACAAATATTTCTGAAGTGTTCAGTATTTTGTCTCCAGTGGATAAATACAGAAAACTTCCGAAGAAAATCATGTTTTCTGTCCCTAAATTTTCCCCCAATAAAATACAGGAAGATCATTTGTACAATTTTAATCCAGGTATTTTAGAAGAGCATGAATACAACCTGATAACAAAATCAGAATCACCAGAAGCTGGATCCTTTCCTCCAGTCAAACAGCTGCTTGATCAACCAGAGACTGTCACCACCATAGACACGGGGTATAGAAACCTTTATAATGTGGCCTGTCTGAGTAATGAAGAAATCTGGACAAGTGGAAATGGCAGCATCTTGAAACTTTTCAGCATCAATCAGGGATCACTACTCAAGTCAATCACAGCCAAGTCATGGACAAGACCAGAGGGCATCGCAGTGACAAAAAAGGGAGATCTAGTCTATACTGATCAGTTTGATAAAACTGTGAACATTTTGAAGAATGAGAAGATAGAGGAGGTGATCAAACTACAGAACTGGGTGCCTAGCGGTCTCTGTAGTACCTATTGTGGGGACCTGTTGGTAACTATGTACATTCATAACAAGCAATCAAAGGTTGTCCGTTATTCTGGATCTACAGAAAAACAAACCATTCAGTTTGATGAGACTGGTAAGCCTCTCTTTTCGTTCGGTACTTACGATAATTTTATCAGTGAAAATCTGAACCTTGATATCTGCATGACTAACAGTGAAACAAAAGAAGTAGCTGTGGTCAGTCAGGCCGGGAAACTGAGATTCAGGTACACTGGACATACTATTGCTCCAAAGAACCAACCATTCAGTCCACGAGGAATCACCACAGACAGTCAGAGTCACATCCTTACAGCTGATTATAACAATCACTGTGTCCACATCATAGACCAGGATGGACAGTTCCTCCGTTACATAGACTGTGGACTGAGTAAACCGTATGGACTGTGTACAGATAAAAATGATTATCTGTATGTTGCTCAACAGTTTGAGAAAGAAGTGAAGAAAATCAAATACCTGAAGTGAATTCCAGATGTCCAACACTGCAATAGATTAGTATACAAGTGTGCAGTAAATGACGATAACTATAGAATTTGCTTTTGTGGCTTATATTTGACTGCTAGTTTATAATATACTTAGGTAGGCATTCAGTGATTGTGAACAAATATTGAATATCTCTATTAAATGCTTGATGAAATTTCATAAATATAAACAAAAAACAGAATTTGTCAGTGTATTTAACTTTCTAAAATGTACTCTAATTTTTCAGTCCATGCACTCTTTGGTGACCTCTGGGTCAAGGGTTAAGTCAAATTATTACAAATTAATAACTACTGGGAAAACCTAGGGATCATGCTTTTTATGCCCCCGTAATCAAAGATTCGGGAATATATAGTTTTTGCACTATCCGTCCGTCCGTCTTTCTGTCTGTCTGTCTATTTGTCCGCAAAAACTTAAACCTTTCCCATAACTTTTGAATGGGTTGGCTATGGCTTTCATATTTTGTAGGTGTATTCCTTGTGACAAGACCTTTCTTCGGGTACCAACAAATTTGACCTCTAGACCTTGACCTTGGAGTTTGACCCACTTTTGAAAAAATTTTAACCTTGGCAATAACTTTTATCCAGTTTTGGACTTTCATACTTCACATGTGTATTCATTGTGACAAGACCTTTTAATGGGTTTAAATAGTTTTGATCTTTTGACCTCGACCTTAGAGATTGACCCTCTTTTGAAAAAAAAACATTTACCTTGGCCATAACTTTTGAACAGTTTGTACTAGGGCTGTCATTTTTCACAGGTGTATTCCTTTTGACAAGACCTTTTTTTAAGATACCAACAATTTTGACCTTGACCTTGGAGTTTGACCAACTTTTGAAAAACTTTAACCTTGGCCATAACTTTTGAACAGTTGGTGCTAGTAACCTCCCCCCCCCCTTCCCCCCGCCAACACACAACTTAGAAAACATGTACGATATAAAAAAAAAATAAATAATATACCTGTATCACTATCTACAAATTGTACGTGTATATTAAACCTTGATATTTTTGTATATACAATGTATTGTGACAGGATTTGGTTTTACCCTCAAACCAAGGTACCACTCACGGCACCAATGTAACCGGAATTCGCTACATGGTATCAATGCAATTTAGGAAATTCCACAATACCAGTGTAACGAAAATGACCGTATAAAAATACCTCTTAAATATCACACACTTTCTTTTTCAATAATAGTACTTCGCGTTTTGTACCAACTTCTTATTAACCAATTAATAAACCTTTTGTATCTCAAATAGTCACGAAAGTGACTTACCAAACCAAGAATTTTAATAACAAGAGTTTGCAAATTAACAAGTATTTATTATAGCAACAATTGTGTTTAATTAACAGCACAAAAATATTTACATTAAATTTTATATATTTACAACGAAAACTGATGTACTAACGATCTTCCTATATACTTATGGGCCTCAATAAAAATATTGCCTACCTAACAGATGTACGAAGTCCAGAGCCCGTCCTACCCAACGCTAAGTCCGAAGAGAAGTGACCCACCCCTGCACGAAAAATCTACTATGCCTAACCTAACCGGTTTACCAAAAATAGAAATAAGGAACTGGAAATTAACAATAAAATGGACGTATAAATAAGGAAAACAAAAAGGACAACTTAAACGAATGAACGAGACAATGCATTACCAAGAATTTTGAACGAGACAGAGACAGAGACCGGGATCCACCCCTCTAATCAAAAAGTGAGCTGGTACGAACCTTTGAGAAGGTTCCAGACCAACTGAAGTATAAGTTTAAATACACCGCGATATGGAGGTGTGTTTCTCTTATCCAATCAACAACTGAATTCTATGTATAACTCAGACAAGGACATTTCCCAAATCATACTGTAAAACAAGAGAGTTTCCGAATGTAAAATAAAAATTTAACCAATCAGAAAATTTGTTGCTGTTAACTCTAAGCTGAATCGACAATGTGTTTTGACACAGGAGCGGGAGAAAGAGATCATGGTAAATATTGCTAAAAATCAGTACTTAAAACTTTGCCGTCGATTATTAATGCAAATTTTATTAACAGTTATAAAGACTATAATATTATAAAATCCAATCCTATCACAGTATATTTAACTTCGTATTTTACATATGCTCTGAAGAGCAGAGGAAATTCTGGTCGATAAATTCGATCTACTTCTCCACTTTAGAAGTAAATTTGTCGTGATTTTTGTCAGTTGACTGAATTTACGAATTAAGGACATTGGCAAGTCAAGGTTTTTTCGGAGAAAAAAGGCTTAATACATGGGTTTTTTTCACTTATGAAATAGTGATGGAGAGTGATCTCCCGTGTAAAATTCTCTAAGCGGTGAAAACCAATAAAGCGTGTGTTTACAGAGGTAAACAAAAGCACATGTACTTCCTTCAACGGGTAGAATCATCTATACAGCAAGAAAGAAAAGTAGTAATGGCTTTGTTGTAAATTGTATTCAGGGGACAAAGAGCCAACAGGTCGTAATTTACCATAGTTATGCTCAGTATGCTGGGAAGGGCAAAGATGTGACATACGCTGAAAGGTAGACCGACTGAGATCAGTTCTCAGGTTGTATGAAGGAAGCAGCATTTAGTAACTACGAATAAGATTTGAAATAAATCCATGCCAATATTTTTATGACAATGTGTTTCAATCAATTCAGTCAATTACATGATAGAATCAATCAACCAGTCTGACTCTCTTGACCATTATGAATAATATGTAATTATAGCTGTTAAGGGAAGTAACTCAAAAATAAAGATCGGTGCCAGTATGTTCTTGTCCTGTTTCTATATATACATTTTCAGCCAAAATATCTAGAAGTCATAGGAAATGAAGATACAATAATGTATATAAAACAAAAACTATATGAAATAAGTGGGTTTTGGAGAAATATTATGGTGAAAAATTATGTAGGTCCCTTTTATCAACATTTTACATAGGAAATGCATTGAGAATCGCAAAAACACTGATTTGACAAAATCTAAAAAAGAAGCCTGGCTTGGTACAGTAGGTTAAACAATCCAGAATATAGTCTGTTTAGTACAATTAAACCTACTCAAGAGTTCTTGAAAAATTCTATACTATAACCAGGAACCTTGCCAATGTCCTTAAAAGAAACTTTAGAATAGTAAAATACGTTTAGGGGAGGGGGTGGGGCTTTAAAGTCTTCAACAATACATTTACATCAATGATTACGGTATCGTAACGATGTTTGACTCACAGTGCCAACATAATTCTAGAGACGTGGTTCTGAAGTATAAAGACGTATTTAAAATAAATTTTTAATTTTAAAATAATATTTATAAATTCAACTAGCAGTTATACGGTTAGATGGAAGTGTAAAAACATATTACTAGTCTTTGTTCCTTCATGCGTTAAGTCCAGCAAGGGTCTAGGAGATAATTAATTATGCAAGATGAAGCAAGACAAAGTGCCCTAATTAAGATAAAATTTAAGTGCTCTGTCTTAAAAATTGAAATACGGTAGATTTGATTAAAGTTTCAGTTAGAGAGAATTTATGTTCTGATTTTCTGATTATCACAGAATTTACTGTGTCGCATAATTTTTACTGTGTCGCACGCATAAAATTTGAATCGTTACTGTGTTGGGGAAAATTTACTGTGTCGGGGCCGACACAGTAAAACAGCTCTTGGAGAACCCTGTATCTTATTTAAATATAATATCCAGAAGTATTAATCCAATGCAGAAAATGGATGTCATTTTTTCTGTATGTTGAAAGTATTATTTCTTTTGAGAGTGTAATTTGGTGTGTTCAAATTTCACCTGAAATTGTATGATTGCATTTGTCCTTCTGTAAAAATACTCCTGTGCAAGGAACAATGTATGCAGTTACATATCTATAGGGAATGTACACTTATTACACTTATTATACAAAGAAAATTTAAAAATTGAATTATTTGCGTAAACTATTAAAAATTAAATATTGCACTTTAAAATGCTCCTTTAGATGTTACTATCTGATGCAGAAAATTGGTCACTGTATGTCGCGCAGACAGGTTCCTGGAATTATTATTTTATTGCATTACTATACAATAGTTACGAATAGTATACATTTTTAACTGTATAGAGTAAGTAAATGGTACTGTGGAACACGAGATCAGGGATCACATCAATTATTGTAGACTCCTTTAGAGTCTAAACTATTGTATAATCTGTTAGATGCTATTATTATACTGTGGAGCTGGCTGTAATGCCTTAAGTGACTTAATCATGCAAACTATAATTTATATCCATTCTTTAACAAGCAATATGATTTTGTATAATATTCACATCAAAAGTAACATTTAAAACTGCAAATATTAAGTGCTATTTGAAAATAAAAGACATTGTGCGTTTATATAACATAGTTATATTTAATTCTAAAGCTCATTTTTTAAATGTACTCTAATAAACGTCTCCTTCAACAAATTGTCTACATTACCTTAATTTTCTTCCTTTTATAGATAATTGCTTTTAAATAAACACGAAATAAATATGTTTCCATTCAGGTTAAAATGTTGCAATTAAACATCGCAATTCATTTACTGCAAAGTGTTCAGTATTCAGTTCGAAGCTAATAACACAGAAAACAGTGGGCTTTTGATGCCTGGGGCTTTCTGGTGTCTCAAAAATGCAATTAAAAAGTTTCAATTTATAGAAATATTTAAACCTCCAGTGTAACCATTAGAGTACTGAGAAAGCAATTAAAGAGATTGGGGTTTAAAGAACATAATCTGCACCACAGTAAAGTGATCTTTTAGAGAACCTTGTTAATTTTGCTTCTTTCTGTTCACGGATTGGTTACAAGTGTTAGAACCTGTCTGATAATCCCCGGTAGTCAGAAATAGGACTGTTTATATAAATAAGAGGCCTTATCTGAAAAGATTATCATTGTACTGTATTGATGCGACCACCTGAGGCGCAACCTGCCTCTTGACAATACAATACCGTTATAAGTGGACAATGTTGTTTTATTTTCTTTAAGGATTACTCAGATTTTTTCTGGGACAATGGAGTTGTTTTATTTACTCTGAGAATTAGTTTCAATTGACTTTTACGAAACACAGTTTTACACAAAATGTGACTACCATTGTTCGATTCAGGATTTATTTTGTAACAATGGTGGATGTGAGCGGTGCTAAATATTTTGATGCCATTTCTAACAATAAAAGACAGGAGTACAAACTGAAAGAAGCGGAACACAAAATAAATGATTCTAAAAAGCGGATGCTTCTGAGATACTGGAAGGACAAATATGACTTAATGAACGACCTTGTTCTTCTTCACGTTAAAACGCCCAAGTTCGTGCCGCCGGACAAAATAAACTCCACGACGTCATTACCATCTAATGGAACAAGAATAGAAATACAAAACGTCTGTTTGGACAGCAAATTTCTCACAAACAAACCCACCACCACGGGCCGGAAACGAGTCGTCTTCACTTCCGCTCCCGTTATTGATATTCAAGGAGAGGATGCAGTGTGTTATCCTAACAAACAAGCCAAACACGGACGGACCGTACATATGAATTATCCGCTCAGGAGACGGCTTGAAGTGGCTAGAAATCTAGAAAAATCTCTTATTTCTCTAGAACTGCGGAAAGACTTCCGGTCTCAACCCGCGGAAAAATACGACAGGAACGTGGGTTGGAGTGCGCTACGCCCGAAAACGACCGGAAGATTGAGGAAACGGGGTGAATTTGTTAGTGATTTGTCTTCATATAAAAGGGCAGAGACTTCACTGGGATTCTCTCTAGAACGTGGTTCTTCTACATAAAATGGATATTTTAAGAATGTGTTCACGAACAAAGATGTCTGAAATAGTCTGGAAGTATGTTAGTGTATACCTGTTAGGGTCTTGCTATCAAATTTTTGTTAATCTTGAATTGAAAATGGTGCTATACTCATTTTAGACGTGCGGCTTTTCATAGTTGAAGTATATGTGCAATTATTGTCATGTATCATTTAAGGATAAAACGGGACCAAAGTGGCTTCTTTTATCCTTTTAAAATATGTGCCGTCAATGCAATACATAAACCTAGTGTAAAGACAGTCGCAAATAACAAAATAAAGAAAGTCAAAGAATGGATTTAAAATTAATGATCCATTATTAATAAATGAAAGATATTAATGAATAATTAATACTGACCTTAACAAAGATACTCTGACTTCTGATATCAAAATTAAGTCTATAGAAAATGGAGGTCATGTTGTGACAGGTATACATCTAATTTGTTCCTTTTCATTATTGTAGGTCTAATCAATTAATAAATAATTAATTTCACAAAGGGCGACATATTAGTACATTGATTCCATATAAGTATATTCTATTCTAGATTTAGTACATGTATATATCAAAAACAATTTTTCCTCCTAATGGAGGGATATAATGTATATAACTAATAGAGATAAGTTCATACAAATGTAAATGAAAATTGATTTTTTTTTTTTAAATCGCCACGAGTGGAGAAAAATGACATTAAATTGAAAGCCACTTACATATGTAATTCTAATTTTATATCCGGTTTCAAAATCTTTAAAATCCTGATGATTTAGATATGTCCTTAGGAGAACAATTCAGTTTTTGATATTCGTGTTGCTTAAATCTGAAATTCAAAAATATCTTGCTGTTTAATTTTCCGTTACAGATAAAACTTCACGTGTGGTGGTGAAAATTCTTTAACGAACATATTAAGTAGAAAATTGTTCTTAACACTTAAGGTTGTCCTTCTGTTTGCTATAACGACATTATGTTGATATCAGAGACTCATAAAGGAAATAACTAATTATCTTTTGATATATGCAATATCTAACTTTATGTCAATAAATTATAAAATATTAATGAACTTTTATTGATTAGTTAATTCTCAGTGCATTATAAGCTTTTCCTACTTTTTTTTCTTTCTTTTTTTTTTTTTTTTTTTTTTTTTTTTAAATTCCTATTTGTTTTGATGTTACGAATTAATCACAATATCTTACTGAAAACCTTAAAATTAGCCAAATGGAGAGAACGTGCAAGATGAGCATGTGTGTCGAGCGGTTTTTGCCGCGGGACGTTCGTGGTGCTGATAAGACAAAGATATATAGATAAAGGTTAAGTTAAGTGTACTTGATTTAATGAACCATGGCGGTGAGAGTCCCTCATCAAAATCTCCGTAAAATCCTCACCCAGCTCGAATCCGGACTACCCGAGTCCGCTCAGGTAGGTCAAAGGTCAATATATCGTTAGATGTTCAGTAGTAAAGTATTTATATCTCTTCATAATTCATACAATTTTATCAGTCAGCTGCTCCCTTATCAGTTATTTTAGCAAATTATTCAGTAAAACATAATTGTGTAAAAGATTCAGTGACTTCCGATTCGAATCAATGATGTAAATTCCCATTTTAAAACATGTTTAGGTTCAATCACCAAGGAATGAATACAATTTTATAACGAGAAATTATAATATAACTTCTTTGGTCACCGCATATTGAAAATCTACTGTCTAATGCCTACAAAAAATTATCTCTTTTGAAAAAATTAAAATTTAAAGTGAATCGAAAAACTCTCTCATGTATATACATCATTCAAAAGACCGCGACTAGAATACGCTTCAGTGGTATGGGGATGCTGTCAGTATAGTGATAACGATAAGTAAGAAAAACTGCAACTTTATGCTGCTAGAATTGATACAGGGTTAACAACAATAGCTTCCAAAGATTCACTCTATTTTGAAACGGGATGGGAACCTCTTAGTTGTAGAAGACAAGAAGCTAGATTAAAAACAATGTTCAAGCTTCGTAATAATTTAGTGTCTGATTACTTAATGGACATACTTCCAGATATGCGCTGTAACTCATCTATTTACTCTACAAGAAATTCTCAAAATTATGATATTCAAAATGTCGATTACAAACTTATAAGTCTACATTTATTCCTACTGTAGTTAATGAATGGAACTCAATTCCACTCGAAATTCGAAATTTACAGTCAATGTCAAGATTCAATTCTAAAATTAGTACTAAAAAATCTGCTCCACCATCATACTTTGATTACGGTAACCTTTATGCTCGTGTGGTAAAGTAGAGGATACATATCATTATTTTTTTTGTATGTCCCAAGTATGTGAAGACCAGAAATGAATTTTTAAATAAATTTTTACAATTTGACAAAATCCACATTCTAGATACTCATGTCTTATTATGGGGGGTAGATTCATTGAATGCTGCAGAGAATGAACGTCTCTTTTTCTTTTGTTCAAACATTTATTAAACATTCAGGGAGATTACCTTGTTAGCATTGATCAATGTATTAGTATATGTATATGTACAAAATTATTTGTGTATATATATATATATATATATATATATATATATATATATATATATATATATATATATATATATATATATATATATATATATCTGTAAAATGCATCAATTTGTGAACTTTTGCAAATATTGTATACTTTAAAAACATTATGTTCAACATGTTTAACTGTGACAATTTTAATGTGTAATTTACATGTAGGGAGAGGGCGTTATAAGTTTTCAGAACTTGTGCCCAATCCCTTTGTAATTATAAATTACAATAAAATATGTTCAAATCAAATCAACTTGTTTCGTTCACACATATTTTGATGTAGATGTATGGTATGGTCAGGAGTTTTATTCGAGGTGTCCCGAGTGGTTTGGAATTGTGGGTTGACAGTTTAAACTTGCCTCAGGTTTTTGTCGTCAGTGCTAGCCAAACAAAGAGTAAGGTTTGTTTAAAATCATATAATCAAATCTTTGATAAAGATTTATGTTAAGATGCACAATAGAAAATATTAAAATTATAGCTCATATCATTTACTTTTCCGGGTCATTCCCTTTGGGATCATTCCACTATACTTCCAGAACATTTCACTATGCTTCCGGGTTATTCTTTCCAGATAGGATATTTTTTTGGTGGCTACTTAATTTGCATTATCATTGTGTGGTGGTTTCCTTTTCCGAACAAATTACTAATCAAAATTTTAAAGTAAAACCCTTATTATAAATAACAAATTTTTATTGATAATTTGTCTAACATTTACATGGGTATCGCAAGAAGACAGGTTTCCACTCTTTTGCAGTATATTTTGATAGTAAAATGGCTTTTATGGTAGTAATGATTTGTCACCGATTATATACTTGTATCTCTTCACAAGTGCTATATTTTTTTTTAGATAGAGTATATTTTTTTACCGTCTCAATTTAGCAAAAAGAGAATTTCATTCTATTGATGTTTTCTTTATTTTCCAGAATACTTACTGTGGGTCACTGGTCAACGTTCACTGTACGAACCATAGCAACCTTCGCCGTGTCATTCTGTCCCCCGGTCTACTCAATTTCAAACAAGAATTGTTTTTTCGAGGTTACGGAACTCTTAAAATTGATTAGTCAATAATCTATGATGCTTTCAAATATGAATTTCTCTGCATAATTATCTAAAAATTTCTAATACTGTAATTTTAGGGGTAAATGCGAGAACTTTGACGATCTTAGAAGAGATTTTTCCGTCTGGAAGTTTCCGTGATGTAAGCGTTCCAGGAACGACTCAATTGTATTTCACATCCAATGAAGAAGACATATTGAAAATGCAAGTAATTTTTTTCTGTAATAATAAAGAAATTTACAGTTAAAATCAGTATACCAAATTTTCAATGAACAATATGTAACCTTTTTGTGTTGTTTGATATAATTGTTAGCCTTCTAAATATTTGACTGAACTAGGTGATTGTCTGTTATTTAGCGATGTCCCTGATGACTTCTGTGTGGGTCCATTCAATGAAAAAGTTTCCCGGAGAATTGAAGAGGTTTGGAAATTCACCCCTCAGGGCATCAGCCAGATGAAGTTGGATGAACGTAAGTGGGGATTTCCGGGTTTTGCAGTATATCACGTGACTTCCGGGAATCTTGCCGGGTGGGCTGTTCAGAACATTGATGGAATCATGGGTCATTTGTTTGCGGAAGAAAAATATCGCGGAAGAGGTGTAGCCAAATTTCTGACTTCAGTACTCGCCAGGAGTGTGATAAAACAAGATGGCTTTGTAGCGGCGGAGATCGTGAAAAGCAACATCACGTCTAAGACTGTGACAAGTTATATCGGACTAGCGGAAGTGAAAGGTTCCGAGTTTGAATGTAGAATGTTCAGATTAAACTTGGACAGTAAATTCAAGTGATATTTTGAGCATTGATTTACTTCGTCTTCATTTAATGTTTAAACAACAAACAGTCATCAAAATACAAGTTAGATATATAAATACAGCATAAGGGTAAATATGCTTCAAACCTTGTTATTGAATTGTAATCTCTTTATAACTAAATTTAAATACAAAATTAATCTAGTTAAAATTGTTTTCCATTCAACAGATAGATTCGCTTGACATATACTTATTATAGATAATTTGGCGTATTATGTAGGTATTTCTATGTATACTGAAAGGAAAAAAGGAAAGGAATATCTAAATGTATTAATTTAGCATATATTATGTGCGACACAATGATAACAAAGTACAATTTTATGAAATACATGTATTTCATTCATAATTAACATTTCTCGAAGCATGCTATCGAATTAAACGATATTTTAGCACCAACGTTTTTAACTATAGGGAGTAGGGAGTTGAATTTTAAATTTCAGAATTTCGATATCGCATGTGTCCTCATCCCGCCAATGGTACAGCAGCTGGTAGGGTTTCATTTTGAACATAAAATTGATCAGAAGTTTGCAATTGATCCTCCGAATGGGGATGAAATTTCCCTTCTCAATTAAGTTCTTGCCTCAACTCATTGGTGGCATTTGAAATCAAGCATGGAAGTTAAAATTTGTTGATCCATTTGTTCCATCACTGCTCAATTGGAGATAATTCGGGACTTAATGGTGAACACTCTGTGTCTGCCCGTTGTTGTCACATGGAAATATTGGCAAAGGCAACGTGCGTTCTTTTGGCGTGGAACATGGCTGTAAAGGGATGACCTGCATACTATAAGGCCTGCCTCTATGATTCTATAGCCTGCTTTGAGGCCTGCCTCAATGATTTTATAGCCTGCTTTGAGGCCTGCCTCTATGATTCTATAGCCTGCTTTGAGGCCTGCCTCTATGATTCTATCGCTTACAGTTTTCACTCTAATTCTGGGACTGTGGAGTCCAGAAATGTTACCAGCTGTTACACTCGCAGTTCGAAACCTGTTCCGTCGATGGATGAAAAGGATCTCTCTGTCCAGAAGTCCCGCTGTCCCCTGAAGTCCGCTTCTTGGACAGTCTTTAATAATGCTTCCTGCTTACATGAATCTTCGTGCAGTAGAGTGGGACACATTAAATTGCTCAGTAATTTTATTTTGATGGGATCTTTGTTTTAGTAATGCAATAACCAGATCTCGTAGAATTGCAGTAAGGTGTGGCACCTTTTCAGTCAATTATCTGTTCAAATTCTCACCGGACTTTATCAAAAAAATTTCACAGAGATTGCAAAAATGGTCCAAATTATCCAATATCCTAGCTACATGGCTTTCAACCCAAAGCTTAAGGGCCAACAACTCGTGTGCTCGTCGAACGATCAAGAGTCATGGTTGAGTGATTTTCTGTGGTATATCCTTTACTGAACATTATCTAAGGTCATACGAAACGTACATGTACTGTTCTTCGCAGTGTACCTTTCTCATCGATAATTTTCCAAAATATTTTTAATTTAAGAATCATGGTACCATCAGATCTTCTTAAACAAAAAAATCAGTATACACTACCGGGAGTTTTGAAGAAAATCTTCATTTAGTTTTGTTTTGTTTTGTTCTCTTTTTTTAATTAATAAAAATAAAGTTTTAGCCAATGTTTCCTCAAAATTTGATTCAGAAGGCGTGCATAGCATTACCAGGCGTCATAAAATAGCACAAAGGTTCTTCAATAATTTTAACTCTAAAATTATACAGGAAATAAGAAAAAAAGTTCAAAACTACGTTTTGTATGTCCTTAAAGCCTAAAACTATTTTAACCAGGATTAGACGCAATTATAGTAAATCAATAAAAAACATCTGTTTCTTTTTTCTCTCATCATATTTTGTTAGACAATTTGTTCAGGTTGTGGCTTATTTTTGTTGAGCAGTTATCCTAAGTTTTGTATACGTATGATTCTTCCTACAACAGGGATCCGCGTTTTAGGGGGTGGGGGGTCAAGGTCATTTTTTAGTTATTTAACTATGTACATTAAATAACTGCAATTCCAGGGGGACGCCCGACTCCCCCCCCCCCCTCTCTAGATCCGCGAATATGTGAATACTATATATATTCTATACATATCTGTTAAAGTTCATCATCCTCTGTCAATTTTAATCTGATAATGACTTTTGAATTCAAAATAGTCATTTATTCCGATGAGAGTTATCTCTCCTATCAGAAAGTTATAGAACCTTAACAGTGATTGGCTGGTAATAGAATAGCAGACGTATTTCAGCATTGAATGCCGTAGGTCGTATTATATCAGCACCTGGCCATGCCGACAAATTGAATATCGCGCGTAAGCGCACATTCTGAATCTTGTAAAAACACCTTACTCATTACAACTTCATACTATATTGCCTCCTTGATATCCAGAATCAGAAAAGATTTTCACAGAATATTGCATTTTCTCTATATAATCAATAAAGTCCCGCCCCAAAGCCAGGAATTTCATAATTTTGGAAGAGGCATCCTTATTCAGAATCATGGACTTACTTTGCTAAATATACAAAGGCAGAGAAGAAGATATTGAAAGAATTCATACATTGTACTATATGGTCAATAGAGCCCCCCCCCCCCCCAACACCAAAGCCCATGACCCAGGGGCCATGAAATTCAAAATTTTGGAAAAGGTACTTTTGCTCATCATAACCAAGCACTTAGTATGTTTGCTAAACACCCAGTGGCAGAGGATTAGATTTTCAAAGAATTGATGCATTTTCACTATATAATCATTAGACATTTGACATGAAAATTTACATATAGAGCATAAAATATAGAAAATTAAAAATAAAAAACTTTAGACATGTGTCATTTTTTTTTCAACCACGACGAAAACATGCAGAGCTAATGATCGCAGATTTTTTGGTATACTCTAGATATATCATTATTAACAAGTCTGCTATCAATTAAGGACATATTGAAATTTATCAAATGCCGGTCAACTCGATTGTGTACAAAGTAAAAAGAACGATAACTCGTACATCTTACATGGTCGCAATTTTTTTACTATTGTAAGCAAATTCATCAAGATTGTTAAAGAATTTAGTTAAAAATTGATGACGAATACTTGATGAAGTTATTGGTTCAAACGCAAGTACATTATCTATAAATGATTTTGAAACTAATTTGAAAAAGTATTTTGAGAATATAGTTTTCATGGACATTAGAAATATCAAAGAAAAAAGGTAATGGAAAATTGTCATTCTACAGCCAGTTAATAAGTCCACAAAATCTAAACAAGCTTGGAATTCAACCATACTTAAATTTTTTCCATTTCCAAGAATCTTCGTTCTTTTTTAACTCGGTTAAGAATAAGTGCCCACAAATTACAGATAGAGGTTGGCATATATTGTAATCCAATTATACCAAGAGATGAAAGATATTGTATTAACTGTCATACTGTTGTTGAAGATGAACTTTTTTTACAGTGCTCTCAGATATTATTGAGAATTTTGTCCTGAAATGTTTTTTTTTTCAAAATATTTTTAAAATAAAAAATTTAGAGTTTGAAATCAGTTTTTTTTATCAAATTACAATACTTGCTACTTTCTCATGTTATGTGCCGTTTTCATGAATAACTTGTCGTTTTCTATGTATACTTCCGGTCGATTGCTACTGTTCAAAATGAGAGCTTCCGAAAAAATAAAGCCTAGTAGATTGTAGATTTTTATTATCCAAAAATTGCAAAACTAGGGATACTTCTGAAACACTGAGTATTCCACTGTCTACTACTGATTCACATGGGACAAAATATAGAAAAATGGAAAAGAATTCGGCAGAGGCAAAAAGCTGATAGAGCTAGGAGTGAAACCCCACTTCTCTACATAGTGTTGTTTTTGATGAGTATAATATCCAAGCCTTTTTTTACATTTGAATGCTAGTTTACTAGGCCTACAATCCCTTTTCCTAAAGTGAATTCCTCTTTTCTAATATTTTGTACCACACAATACAAAGTAGATGGGGAAATACTTGGTGTTTCAGAAATATCAGAAGATTTAAAAATCTCTTACTTCATGTAATACCTAGCTTAAATAGGCTGTTTATTTTCGAAAGCAGTAATTTTGAACATCAGCAGACAACAGGAAGTATACAAAATAAATGCGAGGCTATCCACATAAAAGCATGTATCATTGGTTGTACCATAGGACTGGCGGTAAATTTAGATTTTGCTTTGATGTTGCTGTGGTGTATTTGCCAGAAGAATCACAGTTTTTTAAGTCACGCCCACTTTTTTGGCAGCAAGCCATATACTGTGACAAGAACCTTGACTGATGAATGAATGATGTTAATTTCCAGACCTCGGCAATGGCTGATGAATGAATAAAGTCAACATTTTTAATTTAAAAAATACTAACATTAACTTGCCAGAATTCGCCTCGTAATTTTTTTCCGTATTTTTTGTATGCGTTTCCTTATTCACTAAATGATACGTTTTATCTCGAATTCTCGTCTTTCTATTTTCTTTCTCCAAGTACATGTAGCAATTTAATATCAGAAGTCACTGCTTTTTTTTTACTTCATAAAGCATTTCAAACTTTCATTAAAATGTCAGAAATCATTTCATAGTGTCTATCAGGGACCTATATACTAGACAGTATATATGTTCCTGTTTTATACGTCGCTTGCCATATATAAAAATTTCAACGGCGATGTTTTCCATTGACACCCCCCCCCCTTAAAAATAACTCGAAAGATGAATTTTCTTTCAGAGTTGACGGCGTCAGTATAATACATGTAGTTTACAATCCTTACCCCTGTACCTGACCAAAAAATCATGTCTTCTGTGTCTTCAACATTTCGAAAGTACAACATCATCACATGCACCCATTCCGATTTTTTTATCAGTGATTTGCAGCAGCAGAGCGGTAGCAAAATATTATCCTTGCAGATGGAGACGGCTATTTATAATGTACTACAGACTCCGGACCGTGGCTTGACACCATGTAGTAGGCGGCGCTAATTATCAATTTGCTTTTCTCTCATTGGTCCGCTGGTACAAGTAACTTACACAATAGATATTAATTGGCTATCGGTAAATACACTCACAGTTTTTGTTCACTCGGGGCTCCGCCCCTCGTGAATGAAAAACTGTGAGTGTATTTACCGATAGCCAATTAATATCTATAGTGTAACTATAATAAATATTTGTAACTTCATACGCGATTCATTTAACATAATAAAATCTATGTGACTATATCTATATATTTGTATACTGTATGTACGAGGGGTTATCAAAAAGTTCGTGGACTGATGCGATAAAATTAATACTATGTAGTCTGTGCTTACAAAATTTATAAGAAACATAAAACAACAAAAGTTTAAGAGATGTTGAAAATTTTAGCTCGATACGTTGATAATTTTCCAAATTATTCTAAAATAAAAAAGACATTATATGATCTCCCGGCGCTGTCGCCGTTTAGTTTCATGACGTCCGACAACGTCATTGTTTCTCATTGTCCGCTCTCTCTACCTCATACACTTATCTTGATGAGATTATCTGGAGTTAAGTAAGAACTTAAGCCCGTCTTGTTTATATGACTTCATAATGTCATGAACAGCTGCTTTCAATGCATATAATATTGTAAATGGATCTATACAAAGGGAAAGATCCTCACTTGATTATGCCAGAATACTTAATTTGTTGATGTTCAAATTCTACCACACATGATCAACGTCACTTTTCGACGTGACTGACCTTTGACATCCTGACTACAAATCGACATTAACTGTGCATTTTTCATCTCTCTGAATCTTTTTGGGCATTTAAAAACAAATACTCTGGATGCATTTTATTTCTCTTTTGCCCGTTATAACATTCCTTAGGTCTTTACCAGTTTTTGCAGGTTCGAAACTTTATAAAATGCTGTAAAAAGAAACCCCTCCCCCTTTTTGACGTCATTTTCAAGCCTTAATTTTTGGACACTCCATATAAAATTTACGATAAAATTTCATAGAACGTACAGAATGGGGTAAATATAATTGCAAATTTTACAGAACAATTGTGTCGTACTACATGTCTGAAATAACGGGATTTTTTGATGACAAATACTCATATCAAAAGAGTTTCTCTCAGTTACACTCAGGTAGAAAAAACGTCATATTTGAGGTTGCGCCGCCTGGACATACCATTGCTTACAAAAACATTAAAAATTTATTTAAAAAATAAAACTTATGATTTATAGTTTATTCTATAGATAGAAAAGATGATGCTAACTATATGTTTAAAAATTCATTGATGTACCTAAAGCGGTTTTAATCTTATGGCGCTAGTCCACGAACTTTTTGATAACCCCTCGTATGTATGACTTGCGCCATATGTGGTTTTTGTCAATAAATAAAATTAATAAATAAATAAAATAAGATATATAATTGTTTTTAAAATAAACAAAACTTACTGTCCTAGAAATTTTGAATGAGTTTTTTTTTTCCTGTACATAAAGGTTGCGTGAATTCAAGGAGTATGTTTGAAATTAAAGAGGTTTCATGTATTTCTGTTCAGGCATGCTAAAGCGTTGTATTCGTCTTTGTATACGTACATGTATATGAAGGATTACCCAGGTCTCTGAACTGCATTTTAATTCATTTCATTTTCCCGTGGGATCTAAGGTTTTAAATTAATATTACTTTCTAATTGGCTATGAGGAAAATTACATTTAAATGTACATGTAAAGTTACAGACTCCTGTCATGTTTTAAAAAATCCTTTAATTACACGGTTTCATTTAAATTATTTAATAAACTAATACGTATAAAAAGAAAACATCCGTAATCGTGCTAATTAACTATATGAAAATAAAAATTCATTTTTAAATTTTATGATGTGAACCATTTTTGATTAAACTCTTCTCTCTCCCATTGATATTTCCACATTCTTATCATATTTAATTGACTATAAAAGTAGGTTAATTATCAATTCAATATAGTCATTCAAAACAATTCGTTAAATCTTAAAAGGTTTTAATTTTACTTCCTTTTTATGATTTTTTATTAAAAAAAAAAACCAGGAAAAAAGGAAAGTAAAAAAAAAATCGAAATAATGCAGGACATGGCTGATTTTCGGCCAATCTATAATTACAGATGTGAATAATATAAAATAAAGAAAGAATATAAATATTTTCGGTATTTACGTAAGAACATCCACACAATGTCAAGGTTTTGTGATTTCGGAACTCCATCACAAAGCCTTGACATTGTGAGGATGAGGTAAGAAAAGTTTTCGGTAATGCAATATCGATTTTCGGTAATACAAAACTGTTGAACAATGATTACTTGTTGACATCTGCTTGAACCCCTAATCATAAATAAGACTGAATTATCCATTGTGCATACTGTAAAGGAGATAAAGCTATGAAAAGCAAGTACTGGAGTGCATCAGTATTCTTCATAATTCTACATTAATCACCTGTTCCCTTAATTATAACATTTGATTAATATTTTGTAAAGGCCATTGACCTGTAAAAAAAAAAAAACGCACAGAGTACATTGTTATGGTTTATAATCAATGTTATAAAAGTGATGATGTGCATGCGAAATCCCCATACATAAAAGTTCATCGTTATTATTCGTAATTAATTATGTTATATGTCTATTGAATATTGTATGCAGCAATATGAATCAATGTTTTGGTGAACGCGCTTTGAAGCAATGGAGAGAAACCAATAAAATTATCATACTTTTCTCATTTTTATAGTCAACCTTTCAATTTTTCAAAAATCACATAACCGTTCTATTCCCCGGCATTTTCCAAATCTCCATTTCTTTCTATATATGGTCGCCGTGCAGGCTTTAATATACGTTACTTTATTGTTTTTAACATCCTGTGTATTTATCTATATTCCAAATAAGTCCAATACAGACTGAATACTTTTATAATCATTTACCAACAATGAATTATCTAAACTCTTAAGATTTATATCATATTTAATGCATAAAATATTCAATGATAATTTTTTTTTATTTCCATACGTAACAAGTTGACTTATGTAAACTTGATATAAGACCACGCTGCTTTTCTGTTGCGCATATGAAAAAGAATTACAAGTTAAAATATTTTTTTAAGATAACAAATTACATTTAATGATGACTCAGATAATTTTTCCTATATCGACTGAGAAAATTTCCCCCTACTCACTTGTGCTTAAAAACTTTTTTTTTCTAATGAGGTAAAATAGAGAGAGAGAAAAAGACATCTACAGAGTGATTCACCAGTCGGGCTCTAATCCTTTTTGTTTGAGAATGTCTTCCAGGCCTTATATACTTCTAAATATCTGTATATACAAAGATTCTACATCTTTGACTTCCAATTTTCTATTAGGTGGGGTTAATACTGCCTCTTTTCTGCTGACCACATATAGTCTTAAAACTAAATCACTTTCGAAAAATATACATGTGCACTAATCTTTCCACATTCTCAACAAATTTGTGATAAATATTTTCCATAATAATTTATAGGACTTGCCGACACGAAGTACACACTATTAATTCAGAACACCACAAGTGATCAGTTCTAATGCACCAAGGTTCTCCTATATCGCGCCGTTATCGTTACCAACAGAGGTTCTTTTATCTCGTCTTCATCGACCGCCATTTTCTGTTTGTATAGCTGCCACACATCCGGTATTGTTCTCTTGTTTTGAGCATTGACCTTAAACTCTGACAGGTCAATGTCATCAGACATGGAGGGCTGTACCACATTCGATCTCGTGTCCTCCGAGAACTGGGTCCTGCTTACATCTTTGTTCAAGCTAACAGCATTAGTTAAGGAAGGAAGAGAAATTGTTTCTGAATGCGCCGTATCCATTTTAACTGTACTTGGAATGCTACCGAGTGTGTCTTGTTTGATAAATTCGTTACAAGGTTCGGAAGAATCTCCTAGAATTTTTTCCAAGTTTTGCGTGGTGTCCGAGTCCTTGAAATGCACCCTCGATTTCTGGAGTAATTCCTCGTTATTTTTCCTGACATTTCTGAGTAAAATTTCTTTTTCTATTTTTCGTCGTTGTTGTTTTTCGTACAGTTTACACAGAGACTTTGTAACATTGTTCACTTTTCTAACAAACATATTTGACTTACTGCGTGATAGCTGAAGATCTCCAGTCCCGAGGGAACTGGTGCCGGAGACTTGTGATGGTGAGCCAGAGAAGCGGGAAGGCGCAGCAGACGTACAAATGGAGGGATAAGCAGACGACTGCGTGCTGTGACTAGCGACGCTGAAGGTTTGGGATCTCCTGAGTGACCCATGTCTCAGTCCGTTTCTTAGTGAGGCTGAGCGGAGGTTAATGTCCGCCAGCTGATGCCGGACACATTTCTCCTCCAGGTCCAGTCTCCGGAGGTTGATTTCTTGGGCCTTATTGAGATACCTGTTGAATTCGTCCAGTTGCCGCTTTTCGCGCGCATTTCTTTGCCTCGTTTTAAAAAGTTCCTGGGCGTCTAGAGCGGTATAAGCATTGCTGATGCTGAAGTCATGATAAAGATGTCCAAGAGTTGGATTAATTGTCATTATTTAAAAACTTGCAAAATTCCAACAGTAAAAATAGTTTTGTTATCTTTAACGTCTGCTTCGATGTCAAGACTTTGTTTACAAAAACAAACAGTAGAGCGTGTTGTGTCTTTCCATTAGATGTATGTATCCCGTTGTTTGTTTTCACTTGTTAAGTTTTTCGCACCTTTGTTAGATGCTATCTTCAGAGCAGGTATCTTGGTACATAGATCACTTTGATGGAATTCCTTTTATTAACTGAAAATTTAAAACAATTTGCCTTATCCTTCGGATATTGCACTTAAACATAAAAGGATCCAAAAAGAAAAAATGGACCTCGCTACACCTCTGTGATATCCCCACTGCTTTTATCCATCAGTGTCACGCTCGAACATTTAAAATTTTAAAGATTTTTAAATGATCAACAAATATCGCATTGTTACGGTTGGTCCTTTCGGAAGCATAATCGAGAGTGAAATATCCAAACACACGCCGGCTCTTGTTCGGAATCCTAATTCTGGCGGCAAACAAGGAAATCTGTTGACACAATAAACACTGTATAATTGTCAGTGTGGTCTGACTCTGTCGGGTGAGGGTGTCCCCTCAATCACGGCGTACCCAGGGCAGTCTTTCTACGTCATCGGGTCTTCAATCATTTTCTCCACTCTTCATGGTGTTGGCCTTTTGTCTTAAGTCAAAAAGTTTTAAACAAAACATGTACTTGTTTTATTAAGAAATACTTCACGTTATTCACGATAGTGAACAAGACTCGCACGATTCCTATGTCCCCGGTCTCTACAGCCACTTAACATACAAGGTTAAAAAACTGTGAAATACGACGGCAGGTTGTTATCTAGAAGTCATTAAATTACATTTGCATTAAGTTAGTAGATCCGATATTGCATTTCTGTGAATGCTGAAAATTTAATAAAAAAAGATAAAATTGCCCCGTTCTGCCACTTGGAGGGTTCTGCAAATACGAGGTGGTTATTTAGAGAGCGGAAGTCAACGGGGGGGATTAGTGTGTTCTGTACACGAAATGACAATGTCAACAACGAAAGGGAACCACTTTACAAAAAAATGACACGGGAAACATACCGCGGGGACGATCAATTAAAAGTCTCGAGGGCTCTTAAAATTCTTTTTTTTACAATAAAAGATGTCAATTCTATCTCAACTTACACAAATGTAGCAACTAAAAGATAAACATGATTTATTTTAATGAATTCAACAAACTGGCTGTTTTCAAATTAAAAAAGAATGTACTGAAAGAAATTCTTTTCTTAACAAAGCTAATGTGACTTTTTAAATCTAAAATATTTATAACTGATTAATTTAGATACATAAATTTAACGACACGGTGTTGCAGATAAAGATAAAAACCTGTCATTGATGTTAGGGGGATTTTTTTAAGCTTACGTCATGACATGAAGATATGTTAACTGAATGGTTTATCACTAAACTGATAAAACGACCATGCTTATCTACAAAATATTACCTAAAAACAAGATATCGCACATCTTTGTCATAAGATCCGACACTGCAGTTTACTTGCATGGTGGAGAGAGAAACAAAACCCTGGGCGTTTCATTGATAAAATAATTTTATTCATATTAAAATAATTTTATTCATATGTAAAGTATATATGTATGTTACTTTTGAAATATGTTAAAATATGGTTACATGTAATAGGATGGTGCAGGGAATACGGTTAAAACATTTGTTTTCTTCCAGTAAAATGTAAAATAGTTTTAGGGAACTTTTGAATTGTATCCAAAAAGCTATATGTAGCTAAGACAAAATGAGTTTGTTGTATGAGAAACAAAGCAGTCATTTGGAACACATTTTGCAGCTTTATTTAAATTTTCATATTGATAAAAATTGTATGGTTATTTTTTTTTTCCATAAATCTTTTCATAAATACTTAAAACATTTTGAGTGAAACCGCGAAGTCGGGACACATTTGCTGAAACACCCTGTAGCTCAGCGGAACAAGGGGAGGGGAGGGGAGGAGAGGGGGTACTTCTTCGCAATAAAATAAATTTATATTGTTCACATGTAAATCTATATAACCAAACAAATGAACTTAAAGCATTTCAGTTGAAGAAATAAATTAAAATCGATAAAATGCATGTAATTCAGACGAAAGGTTTGTCATAGTATAGATAGACTTCCCAGAACTATCGTCATTCAAAGAAGCGTAGATGTTGACTGATGTCCGGAATTTTCTGTCTATTTCCCCTCCCCAGAAGATCTAGAGCTGCGCCTGGTCAAGGTTCTACTTTCAAAATTCACCAGTATATGCATATACCCATTTATATCACTCATTTATAACACTGAAAAGTTCAAAAATTAAATTGATATATCATCAATTTGTTAAATTTTGTATACAATTTACATGAAATTGATGTTGATATTACAAGTTAAATAAAAAAAAAATGTTTTATATATCATAATTCAAACTCCAAAAATATAGTATGTCTGGTAATAAAAAAATTTGCAGTTATTCTATGGCTGATCTACTTGGGGGACAGTAAAAGTGTTGTTCCTCGATACTGATGAAGACCAGGGAAACTGTTGCTCTTCAGGTTTCCGGCAATTTTTTTCAGTTTGTTCTTCCCATTACCTTTGGACAACAGTTTGACATTAGTGTGTATACATGTACTGGGTTCAATAAAAGAACATCATATCAAAGTTGTTTATGTTGAAAATTATGTTAATTGCATTTACTTTGCATGAAAGATTTAACACAACGTAGTTGCACATTGGGGTATAAGCTTTATGCTTGTCATTTTGAACTTGCATCAAATATCGCAAATCATAAACTCTTTGATCAGAACACATTTTTTATGGACGGACTCACTGATGATAAATAAACCGGAAATGTACAAAGTCACGTGTCATCGATCTCTCACGTGAACAAAGCTAAATATCGTCACATTCTATTAATAATTTTATGATTTCGAAGTCAAATCGATAATAAGTAACAGTGTCGACACACTCTATAAATCCCTGAGTAGAATTCGATCATTAAATCCTGTATCAGATAATTAAATAGTTTTATGAGCATTTCATTAAGAATTTGTCATAATTCCTGAAATATTAATGACATCTCGCTCACATCTCATTCTTCTGATTTCGTCCCCGTCGGATTCCTTCCTGAAATCTGGCCTTTAAGTAGTCAAACACGTGCGTCCATGCGCGTGCAATATCGGGAGTAAAATCATCCTCTAGTTTTTCTTTAAATGTATCCCGAATGGCAGGCCATAAAAGCTACAAATGAATATATTAGTGAAGAATTAACAATACAAAAAATGATTGTTGAAATCAGTTGCTCCAAATAGAACAGAATTAAAAGACGGAATATGTGTTCTGAAAAATTCATCTCAAATGAGATCAAATGTTAAACATGTCAATATAAATACTACTATTCTAAATATGTAATATCCTCATTTATCAATAAGTTAAAAATTTTGAGATTACACCTATGATTCTCATAACAAAAATCCTATTTGTTCTTAAATTTAAGGTCATAGGTCAGACCTGGGTCATCTCCATAGCAACATTGAATTAACTTATTCTACATAACTTAGGTTTAAATTACCGGTATATGTTTCAAACGATTCTCAGGGTCAAGGTCAATTCCAATGGTGTTCAAATATCTCATTATATTTGACCTATATGTATAAAATAGGAATATCATGTTCAGAAAGGGGTCATTCTCGACAGAAGAATTTCTGTATAGTGATAACTAACGTCCACTCCGGCGATATACTAAAAATAAAAGAACCCTAATCTACGTCCAAGTGAAACTAGAAGATATACACGTAAAAGAGAATAGGTTGTGCTTGGGGACGGGACTTCATCCCTACCCCGCTTCGACCGTATCCCATGGGTTCTTCGACTTTTTAAAAATATTTATCTATGACACCTTTACAAAGTATTACAATTGAGAAAAGCCACAATATAACCCAAAACAAACCTTTTATAAAACTTCACACTCACTGATACTACATTTTAAAAGAAAACTTTCTGGATCACAAAGTGCAACTAATGATCGTCCATTTTCGCTGTACATATTTCGAGTAGCAGGTGTTTGTGAATAGTAAGACAGGAAATCAAAAGTCAATATTTTTTCATAAATTGATTTTTCTACTGATGTTGAAATAGTTTTCTTTTGAAAGTACATTTCAAAGAGTTAATTGTAAACAGTTGACATAAAACACAAAAGGCTTGATTATATTTTACCACTTTTAATGACTTCCACCGACAATAATTAAAAGAGAAAAAAAATCGTCAATTGCAATGTTGACGTTTCAACATATACTAATAACATCAATGAGAATGATATTAAAGGAAGATCAAGAGAGGACTTTCTGTAGATGAAAATATCAGAAAAGGATGCGACTCTCAATTAAACCATTCAAGGCTAGTACGTTAGCAGTACGATTTGCAATTACGAAGTTACGAAACGTATAATCATTTCAGCAGAAGTAAAAATAAAATATCAGAAAGCAGGGTATTTCCTATACAGTACTTATTTTCACGTTATTCAAACCAGGGCTACAAAGAAATAATTCAGGTTATGTGAAAGTATCGTCTCAAAAATCAAATCCATACCACAGAAGAGACAGCAAAAGGTGCCCTTCATTAAGAGCGATAAGTTTGTTAAAACTTTTTTAAACATTATATTTGTAAAATTAATATTCCAAATGATCGACATAATATACGAGTATATTATTATGACTTTGTAATTAAATAAATCTGATTGGTTTGCTTCCTATCACGTGCAAAATTATAATTTACGATTTTGACCTGAGTTACTAAAAATAACAGGGAGAAATCCAAGGATGTGTTTATAATGGTGAGAAGTCATTAAAACTTACAAATTCCTACATAATGAATTTGTTTGTCTCTTTCTTTCTCAATGAAAATAATACAACAAATGTAGCCCTTTGATTCGGTCAATCCATAGGTTTTTTCGACTTCACAAAACAGCATATCGGCTTCGCACTTTGTGCTCAGTCGATATGCTTTTCTTTGAAGTCGATATACATATCTATGGATCGACCTCATAAAAGGGCTATATTTGTATAATATATGAACTAAAAAAATTCATTGATAAAAGTACCTTTTACCTTGATATTTTATTTGAGAAACGTGATACCTGCATTTGAATTTCATATAATTATACGTCGATAAAATAAATGTAAACATAGGTGTGTAATCTTTTTTTAACTCACCAAGAAAGAATTTATTTTTAAAAAACTTACTCCGACCATTTCCGGTCTGACGTGATATCCGGCGTGCCGTTCCCCCATCAGTATCAGGATGTTGGTCAGTATCACGGAATCCTCCAGACTCTCTACGGCCGCCCCCAGCCCGTCCATCACGATCCGGGAGTGCGTCTGTAGCTTCTCGTCGTCCAATACAACCTCCCCATCCGCCTCTAGCCGGGTCAGATTCTGGAACAGCTTCTTAAGATCTTTATTTTTCTCAAACAACCTGAAGCAATTGGAAACTATTTAGTATATGTAATGAAGTATATCTTTTTAAGGAAATCAATTTGAGCTTAATATTTTATTTTTTTATCAACTTTAAAAAATACAGGTATTTCTAATTATAATTATTTTCAAACTCTTGGGATATCCTATAATGAATTTAAGGACCAGATTTTTCTGGTGAAGGATGAGGTTCGTCATGTTAATGGAGTCTTGAAATTAATTATAAATTTGTCAATCAACTCCTCTCAATTAGCTTCACCTTCCCCTTAGTAACCCTGTATCTCTGATGTGTACGATAGAAAACTACTGATATATTCAAACGAAAGACAAAACTGAAAATATTGCTAAATTCAAAAGCCCTATTTTATCAAGACAGATTATAAATAATGATTTCTTTCCATTTAGAAAAGGTCTTGGTGTAAAGTAAAAGAAGTCTTCGAATTTTGTCAGGAATATTTGAAAATCACTCAAGGTTAATCTTACACGAGGGTCCATTTCCTAGACACTAAGGATTATAAGCGTAATGGTTCTCAGTTATCAGTCTTTCGACACCTGTTCATATTCAAAACCTAATGACATCTTCCAGTAAGTACACCTCCAAAGTGCTCTGTGACACTACTCAGGTTTTAGCTAATTAACGAAAAATGCGCCAGACGTGTGAGAAATGCCGATAAAATTGCACTTCAAATTGTATTTAGGATTTTTAAATCTGTTTGCAAAATTCAGTAATATTAGACTATAAAGTTCAGAAACTAAAACTACATGTATATATGTATCAAACATGAGGCATTTTTTTTTTATTTAATTTGAAATCAAAAGAAGAAAAACAAGAAAGAATTCTTAACTACTGTCATTTTGACCATGCAAATTCAACCATCTTATCAAAATTAAAATTCTCATTTAGTGAACGGATGTCACCATGGGCGATCCCCAATTGGGGGGAGGATACATGAATGTATACAATAATAAAATTATGACATGATCTGCAAAATAAACTGAAATACGTTCAATCATACACTTAAGTGTATTCCATGCATTTGTGGCGGTCAGGTGAGTTCGATCGCCTGTTGCCAGATAGCTCAGTTGGTAGAGCACCTGACTGGAGATTCAGGGGCCTGGGTTCGAATTCCGGCCTGGTCCGTCGCATATTACACATGAAAGTAATTGGCCAAGAACATCTCTAAGTGTGTATGGGTTTCTAGTGAGGTTAAGATATATCTGGATGATGAGATTCTGCATATATGAAGGAAAGGAATTAAACTATAATCCTAAAGTAAATTTTAATCAATATTAGGTCATTATCCTACCAGAGTCATTCATTTTAGAATGGTTTGCATGGATAAAACAACATGTCCTGATCAATTTGTAATTTAATTAGATGGAAATTAATTTCCCATCAGCATTTTAATTTCAATATTTTCCTTAGGATGATGATTAAATCATATTTATCAAAAGGAGATAATATACGTATAAAATATTTTGATATTGATTGATTTTTAAAATGAGTTTTATCTTCATCGATCATTACGTATAAATAAGTCTGAGTTTCACTGCTTATTTCACTCAGCATCATGCCCGCTAATCTGTATCTATTAATTATGAACAATGTAGTGTATACATATAAAACAATCAATACCTAGGTTATTATTTGTAAATATTTACATTTGCAAATATTTTCCCTTATATAACACTATTGAAAGCAACGCGTATCTATATCCGTATAAACACAGGAACGTTCGACGTAATTTCTCAGTGACGTCATAAAGGGTCGACGCGCAAACAATGAATCAAATACGTGCCGTTGAAATGAAATAAAACATTTCACGCGTTAAAGATTATAATCAGGAAAATATAAAATATGAATAAGTCATAAATGTAAATATAAGTAATAATGTATCATTTATCATCTATCGGATATAAATACGGGTTGGTACGAGATCAAATTTACCATAAAACCCTTCGGGATTCGATCTCGTGAGCAATCCGTATTTATATCCTGATGTTTAAAAATGATACCTTATTTCTTAAATATATTATATAAAATCTTCTAATGCATTTGATAACAGAATTGAAGCATTATGATAACCAGAAGTCTCTGATGAGACTGTAGCTCTACTGGTCTGTTTGTATAACAAAAGAAAAGTAGCACTTGGATTTGAAACATTGCAACATGCAACAATAAATAGAATTATGTATCTTAATGTAGTCTACTTTTGTGACAAGTTATATTGAAATCAAATGAAAACTAGGAGTAGTAGCGTTTTGAAAGTATTTCACGGAAATTTCTATTTTTAGTACCGGTAACCATGACAACACCATTCACCCAAATAAAAAAAAACAGAAATACATATTATGTATCGTAGTGTATTCTAACTGTGTGCCAAATTAGATTGAAATCAGACCAAAATTGTAGGAGTAACGTTTTGAAGGAATTTCACAGACATTTCTATTTAAGTAACCATGGCAACACTGTTCATCAAATTCAAAAACCAATGCAATAAATCATGTATCTTAGTATAGTCTTCTTGTATGCCTAATTATATTAGAAGCAGACTAAAACTGTAGCAGGAGTAGTGTTTTAAAGGAATTTCACAGAAATTCCTATTTCTAGTAACCATGGCAACACCGTCCATCGAATTCAAAAACCGATGCACTAAATTATGTATCTTAGTGTAGTCTACTTGTGTGCCAAGTTATATTGAAATCGGACCAAAACTGTAGGAGGAGTAGCGTTTTAAAGAAATTTCACAGAAATTTCTATTTTTAGTAACCATGACAACACCGTCCATCGAAATCAAAAACCGATGCACTAAATTATGTATCTTAGTGTAGTCTACTTGTGTGCCAAGTTACATTGAAATCGGACCAAAACTGTAGGAGGAGTAGCGTTTTAAAGGAATTTCACAGAAATTTCTATTTTTAGTAACCATGGCAAAACCGTCCATCGAAATCAAAAACCGATGCACTAAATTATGTATCTTAGTGTAGTCTACTTGTGTGCCAAGTTATATTGAAATCGGACCAAAACTGTAGGAGGAGTAGCGTTTTAAAGAAATTTCACAGAAATTTCTATTTTTAGTAACCATGGCAACACCGTCCATCGAAATCACAAACCGATGCACTAAATTATGTATCTTAGTGTAGTCTACTTGTGTGCCAAGTTATATTGAAATCGGACCAAAACTGTAGGAGGAGTAGCATTTTAAAGGAATTTCACAGAAATTTCTATTTTTAGTAACCATGGCAACATCGTCCATCGAAATCAAAAACCGATGCACTAAATTATGTATCTTAGTGTAGTCTACTTGTGTGCCAAGTTATATTGAAATCGGACCAAAACTGTAGGAGGAGTAGCGTTTTAAAGAAATTTCACAGAAATTTCTATTTTTAGTAACCATGGCAACATCGTTCATCGAAATCAAAAACCGATGCACTAAATTATGTATCTTAGTGTAGTCTACTTGTGTGCCAAGTTATATTGAAATCGGACCAAAACTGTAGGAGGAGTAGCGTTTTAAAGGAATTTCACAGAAATTTCTATTTTTAGTAACCATGGCAACACCGTCCATCGAAATCAAAAACCGATGCACTAAATTATGTATCTTAGTGTAGTCTACTTGTGTGCCAAGTTATATTGAAATCGGACCAAAACTGTAGGAGGAGTAGCGTTTTAAAGAAATTTCACAGAAATTTCTATTTTTAGTAACCATGGCAACACCGTTCATCGAAATCAAAAACCGATGCACTAAATTATGTATCTTAGTGAAGTCTACTTGTGTGCCAAGTTATATTGAAATCGGACCAAAACTGTAGGAGGAGTAGCGTTTTAAAGAAATTTCACAGAAATTTCTATTTTTAGTAACCATGGCAACACCGTCCATCGAAATCACAAACGGATGCACTAAATTATGTATCTTAGTGTAGTCTACTTGTGTGCCAAGTTATATTGAAATCGGACCAAAACTGTAGGAGGAGTAGCGTTTTAAAGGAATTTCACAGAAATTTCTATTTTTAGTAACCATGGCAACACCGTCCATCGAAATCAAAAACCGATGCAAAAAATTATGTATCTTAGTGTAGTCTACTTGTGTGCCAAGTTATATTGAAATCGGACCAAAACTGTAGGATGAGTAGTGTTTTGAAAAATTGTTTACAGACAGACGGACAGACAGACAGACAGACAGACAGACAGACGGACGGACGACGGACACCTTACTATCGCATAAGCTCTTCTGGTCTCTGACCAGTAGAGCTAAAAATTATATTTAAATAATAATATAGAATAGAATTATTTTTTAAATCCTAGTATTTTCATTGTCACACAATATAAATATTAGAGTTGATGATCAATAAAAAATTTTAAGAGAACTTTTTTTTAAGGAACTGGAGTTGGAAAAAAAAAACAACAGATTACTATAATCAACAAATTATGAAACTTACAAACCTCTGATTTTTTTTTTTCAAATAATTAAAGTAAATATAAGTTTTTCGTGGTTTTTTGTTTGTTTGTTGTTTTGTTTGTATGTTTTTTCTTTTTTCTTTTTTTTTTTTTTTTTTTTTTTGGGGGGGGGGGGGTTGTTGTTGTTTGTTTGTTTGGGTGTTTTTTTTTGGAGGGGGGGGGGGGGGGTCATGTGAATCCTACATTGTTTGTCTCCCTTGCCTATGGAATACCATCAATCTGCCCACCCTATTTACCTATCATATTAGCCACATCATTCCAGCCCCATTTTTTTTTTTTGGTTACCTTTCCTACTACAGGACGTTTTCTGTCCCTGCAACTTTGTTTAACCCCCTAATATAGAACACTTCCCAGTCCCGCCTAATTTTGTTTACAACTCAAACGCCAACCCTTCCGCTTTTGGAACACTTAATAGTCTTTTAATCATTTTCAATCCTCGCCTTTTTTGACTGACTATCCTTCCGGTCCCACCTATTTTGATTACCTCCCCTTGTTCAGAACACTTACTTGTGGAAGACCATCATCCCCGCTCCATTTAGATCCTGCCCTACGATTTTCCAGCTCTCCTTGACTAATCGGATATCCTCGGGTGTTACATATGTCTCTAGTTCCCTCTTTTCGAGGTTGACCTCTTCAATTCCAGAGAACGTGCAGCCCATGGTTGTATTTTCTCTGAAAAACATAGGGCAAAGATGATTTTTTTTTTAACACATGAAAGATTTATTAACAAAAATATCGAAGCCCGATTCGTTATGGTTAGCATGATGTACAGGCAATGTTGTTTTTTAAAAAAATGTCAGGCAGGTTAAAGTTCAAGGTCATAAACAGAAGTCTTCAAGTTTATGGTACAATTTAAAAAATGTCTACCAATAAGCAATATACATCAATGGCGTATATTCCTTTCTGTTCATATGTAGGCTAATGTGAAGTCAAAGACTTCAACAGGCGTGAAGTGTCAGTATAAGAAGGTTCACTGCTCATATGGGGAAAAGGGGGGGGGGTGGTACCCACGTGAAAAAAATACGGAAAAAGACCAGAATGGTGCAATTTTATGTAATGAAAACAAAAAAAACTTTATTTGGTTTTCTAATTATATTACGTTTTTTACACATGTATTCTGGTCTAAAAAAATTTCTGTGAAGTTGAAAGACACCCATGATTGTCATCTGATCAGTCAGTATAGTAATATATACAAATTTTTGGCAATTATGAAAATAGAATTGTCATGACTACTTAACAATATTAAGAAATTTTAATCCTGTACAATTCACCCCTTCACAGTGCTTATGTAATATGGAAAAGTCCTTTTTGAATACTTTGTTTTACGGCTTTTCTAATAAAACAAAAATATATCCCGTAAAGAATTTTTGTATCATTGTTGAATAAGTAAAATGCAATTTGCTAAGAACATTTTTTCGCATTTAACATCAAGCAAAATAATTGTTTCGTGTTATGGTCATTTTCCCCTTTATATTAACTGCAGTATAAATATAAATATTTAATTTTTACAAATTGGGTAAAATGATATGTAGGCTACAGCCTTTGTGCCTATATGTTTGTATGTATGTACATGTATGTCGACCTTTAACCCAATCCTGCCTGGCATGATAAACCACTCGAACCATTACTCTGGGTATTTTTGTTTATGAGTTTGATGCAGTGTAACCTGTCCAATCCGAAATACACTGGGAGACAAATTCTGTGTAAGGATAGACAGGGTGTCAGATTATACACAGTATAAAAAACATGGAAATGGTTAAATAAATTGGAATGAAATAAAGGTCAGAATTCACGGTGAATCGGATTGCACAGGTGTCGGATAAGATTGTTTCCACTGTACATATATATTATGGCGATATTTTATTATTTAAGAATAAATAGAGGATTCACTAAGTAATTCGAAATGCAGGTTATATTAAAAAAATTCGTAACAATGAAATATCTATTTCAGGAGATATTTCTACCTTCAGAATATTATTTTGAAAACATTTTTCAAACAAAAAAATAAAACTTTTTTTCCCTATTAGACTTATATATAATTAGCAAAGCTTTTCATGTAAATACATGAGGGAATTCAGAAAATTCAGATTAAATAAAAATTCCTGATATATAAACGCATATAACTGGATTTCAAATCGTTTTCGTTTTTATTTTTTTAAGTTTATATATCTTACTTTTATCTAACTTAAACTATTAGATACTTACGTTAGACTCTGCCTATAGTTCGAAGACAAACTCCGCCATCTTCTGGGCTCTGCAATATTAAAATCCAATCATTAAGAAAACCGATACAAGTGAGAAACCGTCGTCATTATCACCAGGACACGGTAAACTTGTAAATGTTTCATTTCATCTATTAAATTATAATTAATCAATCTTCACTGCCTCGGACACGCTTCATTTACCGCCATGTTATTCATTTAGCCTATAATACCATTATTCGTTACACTAAACATTTGATATGATGTAGCTTTTCTTTTAATGAAAAGGTCAATTAATAAAACAAATAGCATAAAAAGAAATCATTCAAAACTCTGAACTCTGACTTAATTACAAACTCTAGTCAATACAGCAAACGACGGAACAGAAAAGATTGTTCCAAACGCTACTGTCAATATTTGTCCGTGTGACCATATATAGACTCGTGTTAGTTTTATAGACAATGAAGATACAGTGATGACTTAATTAACTTTGAATACCAGTAATGGAAAAAAAAAAACAGCGACACGATTGTATCTGAAAGCACGCCGCCACTCAAAATGCAAACAGATTTGACTAACACGAAAACTGGGATTAATTCCTTTTTTGTGTAAAATTTTATGAATTAAAAAAAAGAAACTAAAAACACGCTATCACTAATGAAATTAAAGACACGCAATTATGGGGAGAACGACCTATGCGTTAAAATTTTCTGTTTAATTTTCTAACCAAAAAAAATAACTTAAATGCCGGCAAAGGCGGATCCAGCGAGGGTGAAGGGGGATTTGGGGCCGAGCCCCCCTTTTAAAATTTTCAGATTTCTTAATTAAAATTATATTGCAAAGAACCAAAAAAGCGACCATGAGAGGTGTTAACCTCGCCCCATCACTTCCATGTGCAATGTAAAAAAAAAAGTTAATCTGAATTATTTTACTTCGATGCCCTTATAGGTTTAGAGCATTATGCTGAAAATGAATAATGTGAGCACATACATTGTGTGCATGTATTCACTGTTGACTCTGGCTAGGATTTTGTCTCTTGTAGATGATTCATTTTATGAAGTCATACCATATTTAACTGGAAACATGACCATATTTTATGAATATCTGATAATAGGTGTTTGACCAGGACGACATTGTGATATCAGCATTAAAAGGGAAAAAATCAATTACAGCTAAAAAGAAGAGTCAAGTTTAAAAAAAAAAATTGTGTGACTAAAAACATGTGTCCTACGATTGGTGGAGCATACCTAGCAAAAATACCTTGACAAACAAAACAAAAAAAAGAAGAAGGCCACCAGACGTTATAATTGAGGGGGCACAAGTATCAAGTAGCTATGCTTTCTACAGTGTACTATATATCGGGATAATTGTAAGGGGGGAGGGGCGTCCGTACCCCCCTCCCCGGTTCCTACGGCCATGATCTTCTGTGGATATTCCTAGTGTAACATTTGTTCATTACTTTTTTGGCAGAGGTAACGACTATCTCATATTCAAGCAAATGTGAAGTAATATATAATTATTGGGTTTTTTAAGGCAAATACAATGATTTAGTCACCTTAAGAGTACAATATTGTACTTCGAATGTGACTAAATCAACGTACTGACTGAAAAAAACACCATTAATTGTTTTATTAATGTATGATTCATAATATTTTTATTATATGGTTCAATGATTAAATGGGAAAAAAAAACTTTTTAAAGTTAATCTTGCCATTTTTCTTGATGGTTTACAATATTGTTGATGATCTAATACCGAGAGCTAAGGTCAAATAATTTGTTTATTTAAAACACTTGTGATTGATTGATTGATATTGTTTAACGCCGAGTCGGCAATATTTCAGCCATATATCGGCGGAAAACACTTTTGAAAGGCTTTTGTGAACTGTACTTAAACTTTACAGAAAAAATTTCAAGGACACTGTTATACTGCTTGGTTGTAATATTTCATGTAAACGTTTATAGGAATGTCATTTAACACATTCCTTGAAAGCTTTTCCGAATCCATATAGGAACCGGAAATGATCAATTAGTGTTTAAATCCAGTGCGCATGATCTGCTGCCAATATCTTGTCGGATGTTTTTGAGATTCTAAACATTTATTTTTACATTATCTACATATTATTCGTTCATTAGCACTATAAAAAATTTCATCAGTAAATAACATTTAAATTTCCGGAGCTAATAATGAGAAGCTGTCAGGTAATTCCGGCATTATTAAAGTGCCTATTTGAAACTTTTTCCGCACGTGTATATTTTGCACGTATACCAGGGAAAGTGACAAGATAAAACAAAAATGCAAAAAAGTATAAAATGAAACTTTTTCACACATTCAAGCAAATTCAAAGAATGATTATAGTTCATACCCTCCTCATTCAAGTGGACTTTTCAAACTTAATATAGTCGATGATCATATTTAAACAAGGTCAAGGTTACAAGGTATGGGGAAAATATGGTCCATACCATGAAACTGGAAAGGTATTAATAATCATACTTGGTATAAATACCAAAAGCTTAAGACCCAGAGAGTTTTATCGATTTGTAAGCGGTTAAAATAAAAATGTAAAAGGTCTTCTTCTCAGAAACCACAAAGGAGACCTTAAAAGCTCGGCCACGAAAATGCAAATACATTGTATTTGTATAAGCTAAATGTATATAGTTGTTCATGATCTTTAATTTTGTATTTATATCTGGTAAATTCAAATATAGAACATGACAATCATGTTATAATAGTTACTGGCATACATGTATGTTCAGAAGGCAGGGTTAGCCACAGGGGCTGTCAACACACTATGTTTGAATGTATAGTGATCGCGTAAATCAAAATGTAACTGCATGGCTCCGGTCGGAGTAGCATTAATCATGCAAGGATGAGTCCAAATTTTAGCAAAGAGGGGACAAATGAGTGCCGACAGCAGCATTCTTAATAGGGAGGTGGGACAGAAATCCCATGCACTCAATCCCTCCCCCAACAAAATTTGAAGAAAAAAAAGAAATCGTTCATTATCATATTTTAAGAAAAAACCCATTGCACTTTAGCTGAAATATCTAAATACGCGATGATATTTTTAACTTTTTGCAAATTGGGTTTTAGCGATGTCATTGCAATTTTTTATTTCAAGTGGTATATTGACTACAAAAATTGCACATATTTTTTATTACTAGCACCCGGTAAATTCAGAAATTACAGTATGACAATGAGGCCAATTCCCAGATGTGCTAAAGAGTGTTTCCGGAATGAATCATATTATAGGATATGTTTATCACTGATTTATCATGTTCATGCATGCCAAATCATTTTTTTAACATACGACTATTATACTATATACTGTTGTACATGTGTTACGGTGTAAAATACGACTTTTCGGACTAATTATAAATTACTTTGTAAATTAACTTTTCGGACTATGTGTAAATTGTTATAAAAACTTTTCGTATATTTCGGCAAATGTGATAAATTC